GGTTTGAGCCGCGCTCGAGGCGCTTCCACAGCCCCTTTTGCTTGGGCAAGATGGATCCGATCCCGTCCTCCGCATGGCTGCAAATGGGAGGCAGCGGGAACACAGCCGGGGTCAGACTGCACCTTCACCAAAGGGGTGATTCTGACTCCGTTGACGCCCCAGCTCCTGTTTGCAGGGAAGCAGGAGGCTGTGCTGCCGCTTAAAAAGAGCCCAACCACCCTCGGGGTGACCTACAGCCCTCCACAGAGCAGCCACACTGCTTGTACAAATACTAAAGCAATGCCTCGAGTCGATGTCTTGTATGGTCCAGCCTATCAACTTGGGAGCAGACCTGTACCTCCTCTATGAGGCTCCCTTTGCTCTGTATTTTATGTCCTTTCTTGGTGCCAAAAGCGAAGCCAAAGCTGGGTTTAACAAAGCAACAGGCACGGCTGTTCTTCCTGGCCCTCATTTTCCCCAGCAAGATGGGAGAAATTAACTTAAATCCTATCAAAACAGCAAAAGCCTGTCACCGTTTTGTGCTGTGAAACACAGCACGTATGAAACACTCGCTCGAACCATCCACCTTTGCCATCCCAGACAAGAGCACGGGAAGACACAGGTTGGGAATCCTTTTGTCTGGGCACCTGCAAGAGGGGAACGCAGGCAAGTGCCACCTGTGCCACGTGCCAGGCGGTGAGGGCAGCAGCATCAGGGAGATGCAGGCAGATAGAAGGATTTTACCTTGTCTAAACGCGCTCAGTTCCGTCCTTTGGGGCCTCGCGCTCCCGGATCCAGCGAGGCACCGCAGAGCTCTTCCCTGGGCAGCCTGGAGCGCTCCGGCAGGGCAGCCCTCCTCGTCCCTCCTCGCACCCCGCCGGGACGCGGCAGCCTGGAGCCTGCTCCCATGAGGGACACGTTGGGCTCGGCAGCGCGCGAGGGATTGGGGACATTGTCTTGAAAGGGGAGGAAACGGACAGTGGGAACAACCCCAGGGACCGACAGACAAGCAGCGCTGCTGACCCTCCTCAGCGTGCAGAGGCCACCCCCTTTCAGCACCCGCTTCGCTTGCTTGGGAAAACTGTCCTGATTTTATGCCTTACTGTCCAAAATGACACTAAGGACCTTTGCGGGCTGTATGTGCTCCGCTCTTCTTCTCACCAAGGGAAGTGCACAGGAGTGGACAGTTGTACCTTGTTTGTGTAATACTTGGCCATCCAAGTGGCTCGGAACAAATTTAAATGAAGTCTCTACCTACAAGTTCTCACACACAAAAGCACAGTTGTAACTTTGCTAACAAGGATAAGGTTATATTAGACTATTCGGTAAATTCATGTTACTTCCTAATGGAATAAAGAAATAATGTGCTTTTACATCAATTATTGCAATTAATCTGCTTCAGAGGGGCATGGTAAGCTAGCAAATATGCATAAATTGCACTCAGATTTCCCAACCACCTCCAATTTCTCTGGCTCTCTCAACTTCCCTTCACCTTAATTACATGCAGAAGGAATTATCAAAACTTTTCATCAGTTTCTTCCTTTCTATGCAGCTCAAGACTTTTCAAATGTAAAAATAATCAACTTGAGATCACGTTCAAGTGAATTTTGCAGAAACTCGCCTAGGATTTTTGTCTTTGCTAAGCAGTGCCCACTTACCTTGGGACTCGTGAGGGCAAAATCACCACGCGGGTCCCCGGGATCAGTCGAAAGCAGCCACAAGAGGGAGACTTAATCTCCTATTAATATCCAGATGGATTCTGCTTTCCAAGTGTGTCTACTAGAGGAGAACACAGCAAGTTTTCAAAAGAATTTTAAAAAGTCACCTTGGACTCCAAACTTCCTTTCTGGAGTTCCAGAAGCATTTTCGTTCTCAAGGTAAAGGTTCTTTAAAAATTATGAATATAAAGTGTTTCCATATAAAGTGATACAGGTATTCGGGGTTTTAATTTCCTGTGGATTAAAAAAAAAAAAAAAAAAAACCCTTTACTTGTCACAGCTCCATTCAAAAAACCACACTGCAACTGAATTCAGAGCAAGAGGTGGACATGAGTAGTTTTTGTCCTAGCAAATCACAGTTTACAAGAGCTTGAAAGGCAAGTTCCTGACTCCTAGGAGTCTTTTTTAGCAGGACTAACATGATCTGCCATATGGTTATAAAACTGGCAACAGAGCTAGATAAAAATAATTTCCTTTCTCTCACCTTCTCAGATGAAGATTTGGCAACTGTAAAGAGTGGACTTTGCTGTTTGGATGTTTTGGCTAACAGTACATTTTCTTTAGCCTTTTGTGTAGGGGACTGAAGTAAATAAAACTATTTCAAACCAAACTGCCAGATGTTTAAAGGGGACACTCTCCTCGAAGGGATGCTGTCATAGCAATCCAGCTGCACCAGAATGGAATGCTCCTTCCTCGCTAAGACTCGAAATTACACTAGGATTTTACTCTTCCCAGGCCACAGGCTAGAAGAGCAGAGCAAGTTCTGCTCAATCAGACTATGAAGGGCCAGATACCATGACACTGGTTAAGTTTTTCTAGCTGTTAATTTCACACATGTGATTAGAAGTTCTGGCAAAGCTTAAAGCCTACACTATAACAAATAACACTTTTCACATTGCCAATAAAATATCTGTGTTGAATCTGTATGCATCTGTTCTCCATCTGCCAAAAAATTGTCAAGATACATTCCTCAAAGATAGTTTTATGGTCTTTGCTTCGTCTTGACATTCACTTGCTCTAAACTTTCCAAGAAACATTACAGCTCCAAAGGGGGCATTTGTGATTGAGTAAAGCCACAGAACAATTTTGAACAGAAATAGCTACATTTAGGCACTGCCCAAAACTTCAGAAAGGCACCGTGTGGCAACTTTCTTGCCGATTCAGCCCAAAAACAGAGAGAAGCAGCAGCCCTCACACAAGAAGCTTCCAAGTGCTGACAGCAGAGCTGAAGGCTGCTCGACAGCGCGATGCCTCCATCGCCCATTTCCTGCCTCATGGCATGTCCTTCTCTGCTGTTTCCTTTCGTATATTCTCCTCTCCACTCCTGCTCCAAACTGAAGTGGGAACCTCTGCAGGCTCAGAAGTCAACTCGCACTTTCAAACGGGATCAGTGTGTTATTACAAGATTAACAACCTCTTTTACAAAAGGTAGTAGATTTAGCTGTCACAAGACAGATGAAAAATCTTAAACCTGTGAAAGTAGAGCATAAATCAGTGTTTTATTTATTTATTTTTGCTCACATTACTAGCCAATTTAAGGGTGGGGTTTATAAAAGGCTATTTTAAAAAATGCCCCCCTATTTATACACCTCATTCTTTGTTGAAGCAATTTAATGGGCAAAAATACTCTTTAATTATGATTAGGGACTGACTACTGGAACGCCCATGTCTGTTTATTCAAAAGCAGATGTTCAGCAACGCAGCGTTTCATACATTATGCTGACAATAGCAAGTTATTAACAAAACATACTATCTAACAAGTCTTTCGGCGAGGTTGTCTAGCTATTGGAGTTGGTCAGTGAAAACATCAGACATGATACATGTGTTAACATCCCAGAACAATTAATCCTCCACTTGGCCAAACCTCACTTCACTCAGCTGAATGTAATTAGACCCCATCTTGCCCTGATTTCCAAGGAGGTTATCTTTCTTCAGGAGTGTGTGCCTGCTTTGAAATGCTGCCGTGATCTGGAAGAAGCCACAGAGCCCCCCTCTTTGGGGGGCCAAAGCAGCTACTAAGGCACACCATATATTGAGAGGGAAACGTGGCACAGAACTTATTTTCCGAGTTTTAGGCAACATACCCAACCAGAAAACAGCAAGAGCCAGTGAGCCATGTTGTGTATGAAGTATTTTCAGAAAAAGGTTATATAATTTTCCTCTAGCCCCATGGATCAGAAACACATGATACAGCCACGGACCCACTACAGCTTAGTCCTCTCTGCCCAAAAGGATAATCACTAATCAGGATAAATCTTTAAATTATAATATCACAGCTAGTCTACTCAAGGAACAAAGTGCTAGTCACATCTCTGCTATGGCTCAGGCTACAGCTGAGCGAAGTCTAGCCTTGAGCAAGCTCAACCACACACAGCTTTGTGAAAACAAGGTAATTGGTCTTTAAAAAAAAATAGTAATAATTCATAACACGGTTCTTGCCCCTGGACACAAAAGACACAAGTTCTATTTCCTAACAAACATCAAGAACATTATGACAGTGAGACAGCAGCAATGATCTGCCATGACCCCTTAAGAAGCCACCTTCTTATATAGCTTAATGGGAAAAGGACATGGTCCAGAAATCTTTTATTTCCTAAAGCTTAAAATATAATGCAAGTTTCTGATAAAGCTGTTTGTGTCCCTCAGTTTAAAAAACATAGAAGCAGCTAAGCCAGCTGTGGGAGGAACAAGCAGCGGGTAAGTGGAACAAGGATCCTGGTGTCATAAACAATATTGACCTCACAACCAGCAAAAGCCACAGACTTGATTAAATCTTTGCTCCAAGACAGGTCTTAGGTTAAAGCTGTACAGAAGGATTTTCTTGGAACTAAAATACACAGTAATCATTTGGAAGATTCTAAGGGAAGACATTACTAACCTCTTTGTAATCAAAGTTTACTCAACCCAGGAGCAACAGGCCTCTTAAAAAGCAAATAAAATTAGCACATAAATCTTATTCTCAGTTTTTGATTGTCTGAAGCAGTCAAAGACTCAGGCTACATTTATACCTCATTCCAGACAAGCTGTGTGCCCACTGACAAGCAGCTGGCATTACTGGTGCTCATACAGCCATGCCTAGAGTTTCAAGGAAATAGCCTGGGGGCTACAGAACTGCAAAGCCCAGGAACATGTGTTTTGAGCTGCTACGATGTGCGAGTATGTTCAATGAAGGCAAGTAAGCCACATGAATGTTTGGGGGTTTTAATCGTTATAACTATTCCCAATGCATATTTGACTGTTTACAGTTGTAAGTCATGTATCTCTGCATTTCAGCGGCAGCACAAGCTGCCCAATTTACCAGCTCCAGAAAAAGAGCCTACTGCCAAATGCAGAAGGCTTCAATTCTCCTTCAATGGGTGGATTTGGCTCCGGCCTAGGTCGAGAGTGATAAGCGTTCTCAGGCATAGGTCTGTCTGTCTTCACTTTTGTGACCTGAAAAAGAGAGAAGAATGACAACTTCTCACAGCATTTAATAGAAAATGCTTGATTTAGTGTTGGGCTCCCATAGCACCTGGTGGGAAAATAGAGCCAGTTTGGACCAAACATGGGGAGGGAAGAAAGATCCTGTCCAGCTAAGCAAAAAGATATTAAATCACCTTAGAGAGCTCTCCCAGGTCAGGCCTCACCCAACCCAGCTTCTCCAGTACACAGTTATCAAACACTGCTTGCTGTTTGCGGCATCGGCGAAGCTCCTGCATGTTGGTGTAGTCAATGCACGTCCAGTATTCAGTAAAGGGCTCAGCACAGTGCAGCTTAACCTTCCTGTAAAAGTTTACAGAAAGAAAATGCCTTATAAGTGTTATTGCTTTAATAGCATTTCTCTCACAGGTGTCCAGTCTCAGTCCCTGACAGTATTTTCATAGTTTCAAGTTCTCATGAACATTTAAAGTCTTCAGAGAAGTCAACATATATAGCACCACTTACCAATATTGATGTTGAATTGGGTTAGATTCAGACCACTATAAACAGGGAGAGCGATAACTCAACTGTTATTCAAAAGACATTCTTGCTATGTAGATATATACAGCCTGCTTGTATAAGATGCTTATTTTGCCAGGCAATAGTATGCACTGCACAATATTATACTACTTCCAGATTAGTTTGATGCTTTAACCTGAAAACAAGTGCTCAGGATGGAGGTTTCTGACCTCTAATAAGCTGTTACACTAAAAAAGGGCACACTTTGGGCCAGTTAAGACAAACCATATGCTAGCAAGCCAAGAAAACGATACCAGCTCATACCTAGCACTGCATTTTAGCCACAGGAGATCTATGTATGTTTACATATGTGAGTTTCCACAGCACTATGCCTGCAAGAAAGGGCAAATCAAGCAAAACCTGCACTCCCAAGGCAGCCAGCCTTGCCCCCCGAGCTTCCTTTGCAAGGGAGAAACGGGAGTTTTCCCAAGGAACAAGGAGCCGCAATCAAGGGAGAGGTCACTCTGCACTGACAGAGATGGGTCGCACCTGAAGAACTCGAGGGCGCACTCGTTGACCTGGCGGCCCTCGCGGAGGCACTTGCGCGGGTCCTTCTCCTCCCAGCGGCACAGCATGAACTCCTTGTTGGGCCGGTCGCACTGCGAGCCGTAGTGATGTGCCGCGGCCTTGAGCACGGCCGAGCTGACGTTCACCTGCGGAGGGGCAGAGCCGCGCTAGGGGTGCCCGCCGGGCCGGGGCGGCCC